TTAATATTTATGTATAAGTTAGATTTCCTATATTAAATATGTAAAGAACTTGTTCAGCAAGTTATATTCTTGTACGAATAAGCATATTGGCTAATGAATAAAACTGAGAGAAACTATTCCACTACTAAGGTTTTCTCCAAAATCTATCAATTTCCATTAGATTTAAACAAAAATTTACAAACTTTCTTGAGTCTAAGTGTGGAAAGGTTCAATCTTTCTTATTCTAATCCTCACAGCTAGATTTCTATCAATTTAATATAATTTTTTTTTCATTGACATTGAAACTTTCATAAAGAGTTTACAGAGCGATCAACTTAAAAAAGGATTATTTGCTAGAAATACAACCAAAAAAATTATAATTTACAAACTAACCAAAATCCCCCTTTTTCTCTCACTATCTCTTCCTATCTTTCTCTAAAGTTTTTCTAATTATAGTTTTTTTTTTAGTTATTATTGCAAATGACCCCTTAAAAAACTGTTTTCTTCAAAAAGAAAAAAAACTTTAAAAAACTGATAGTTATGGGAAAGTCAAGAAAGAGACTGAAACAACTTCTTTATATTAAACAACAAGATAAACTTTGATCAATTAGCTTGCAAGGTTTTATTGACCCAATGTGTGATCGAAACTGTGCCGATTCTTTTATAAAAGACGCAATAGCTCCATCCCACAAAATATACAAATTAAAAATCTATTTTGTTAATGGTTTAAATGATCAAGTGATGAATAAATTAAATATATGAAATGAGGGCTTTTATATAAGATTATAATTGATCATGCTTAGCATTTAGAGTTTTTTGTCCTTTTAATTTTTAGAGACCAAAAATTAAATGATCGTGGTATTTTTTTTTCTTTGTTGGTTCTTTTCATCATTCAATATTGTTTCTATTTTCCTCCAATTGATATATACTACTCACGGAAGAAATGAGCAAATCAAATGCCAGAAACAAGTATCGAAAGTCGTAGAGTTTTAGTCAACAATGTAAAGCAAAAACAAACAGGATAACTAACTGCATGTTATAATCAAATGATTAGTTGTATCATTTATGTATATTTCAAGCCTCTCTCTTCATATATATATATATATATATATGAATTACTACTTGTTATAATCAAATCAATTATGTATATTTCAAGACTCTCTCTCTCTCTCTCTATATATATATATATGAATTACTACTGTATATATATGAATTACTACTTGTTATAATCAAATCGTAATATCAATAATGTACATTGCAAGACTCTCTCTTTAAATACATGAGAAATCACATCACATACAAACAAAAGGAAAACAAGGTCATAATAGTCATTCAAAAGAAAAAACAAATAAAACATTTGTGATCATGGCTTACACTAACAAATTTCCGGTAGCGGCTGCGGTTGCAGTGCTGTTTCTAGTGGTTACGACCACTCCTCAGTGGACGGAGGCGCAAAATACGGATACAAATTGCACGGTAGGGGTCCCTGTCGTGGAACATTGTTACACAACGTTAACGCCGAGTTCATCACCATCTAAAGAATGCTGCACAGATCTCAAAGCGGCGAGTGAAACGGATGTGAGTTGTCTTTGCTACAAGTTTATTGGAAATACTTCTATTTGGAATGAAACAAGAGCTCTCTACTATCGCACCAGCATTATCTGTAACGTTCGCGAGAAATTCATTTGTGAGTATCTAC